AATAAACACCTGTTAAAATAAAATATTAGTTTGTAAATTTTTTTGCTAAGTAAATTACTTACGCATATATTTTAATTTAAAATCGACACAAAGATCAAAAACTTTGGATAGCTCTATTAGGTGAATCCTGAGTGTAAATATAGCGTTAAGAATAAGCTCGTCCAGTTCCTGGTCGTCGCTTCTTACTGCGCTTCGCTTCTCTTCCAGTCTCTCAGCCAACTAAACAATTAAGTCCTTAAAAAGCATAATTCCCAATAAATTTCTTTTTCTAGATTCCTGTAGAAGTTTCAGTCACGAGAAAACAAAGCCAGTAATTTCACTAACACATATAGTTCTGCTTAGAAAGTTCTTAATGTTCCTGCAGCACTTGCTGCTCCACAGAACACATTAACTGCAGTAAAAAATAATACATAGCGAGCAATCACTCGGTTATTTCTGTGTTCCTTGCTATCATCATAGAAAAGAGAACTGAATGTTTAGTACTGTTAAAAAAAAAAACAAATTAGTTGAGCTAAAAAATTAGAATAACTCCTAAAACTCTCATTTTTAACAATTTTGGAAACCATAATTTAGATATATGTTGATTAGAGAGAGACCCGTTTAAGTCAATCATATAATCTCTACGCTTTATTCGCAGACACCTTGTTCCTCTTTCTTCAGTCATATTCTAAATGAACAGATGGCTGTTGTGCACTACTGTTTATAGAGCAGGAGCCGTTAAAACATTTGAGCCAGCAACCATCCAAGTTTTGTAACGCAGGTTACCATTTGCAGTAAAAAATATGTTAAATCTTTGAATTCAGATATTTTGCGCTGCATTCACTATCCCGTAGAAGAACAGTTTCACTGGATTTGATCAGATTACTGGGTACTGCAAGTTTTGAGACCAGGTGCTGTTGTCAAATTGTTTCTCGTTACGTCATTCATCTTTTCGCCTGTTTAGTGCCTATTGAAAGATTTTTCAAAGAGCGCCTTTTGCAAGATTATACTAAAGTTTCTGTAAAAACTCTACATTTATCCAGCTGTTACAGTCAAAAAGAACAGAGATCTTTAAAATACAATCGAATCCAAAAATTCATCATCAAACATACAACGAACTTCTTCCTAATATTCCGCCACAATGTTTGCTTACGGCTTTCATAATATTATAATAATGAAAGCAAGCAGTGTAGAAGAAAGACGTTACAGCAAGTGAAAATGTAAATAAATTGAAACCCAAACAAATTTATCTCCCAAATATCTGGCCTCGTTTCATGAAGACACTAATGGATCCATTAGTGTGTGGAGCAGCCAGTTCACCAATTTCCCTCCTTACTCATGAGCTTTCATGAAACACTGCGGCGATCTGTTTTGTAGTGATTTCATAGTTATTTATGTAAATTTTAATACTATAAATTCTAAAAGTGCATTTCCGAGAGAAACACTCCAGTACTTTAGTGATCGGGAAGAAATTGCCTGATTATATATAAAGGCGAAATGCAAAAAACGTCAACAAAGTTTTGAAAATGCGAATAAAATACATTTAGGAAGACTGCTGATATTCACAAATAGTGAGCTCTAAGAAAAGAACTGAATAAAAGTAAAAATAAACAATTTTTTGTCTTTTCTATTACAAAGTCAGAAATTTGTTCTCTACAAAACTATAACGAAAAATCTCAAGCTTTTTTCTTATTGGTTAACAGGTAATTTATACAATTTAACCCGTCTAGAACAACAGTCATTACTACACAAATATGTATACCTGTGCGTATATGTACGATCATCCCTTGTTAGCTGAAAAACTAGCAAGCACGTATTGCCACAATTCGGATTAGTACGCCGGACACTCAGAAACACATAAACAAACGCACATACTGTACGTCTCAGCAAAAATAGCCACAATCTTTTGATGGCGCAATTTGCGAAGGAAAGGTGCAAAGTGTCAACAGACAATAGAACTAATGATTCTGTTAAGCAGTCTTGTCGGTGCCAAGGAATTCTTGTCAAACCAGCAGATAAGCCTTAAGCGGTAAGAAAACAGCAGGAAAGATTGGTGGAAAAATCCCTGAGACACACCCTGCAATTTAACGGCAGAAAAACAAAGGAAGAAAGTAAGAATGAACCTCATTATTACCGGCGATTGGAAACGACTCCTTAGAGGAGAAATAACAGGAGAAAACGCTATCGAATTTTAGAAAATATCCATTAACACAGCGCTGTGAATCGTAAGATGTAAACAACAAATACAGTTGTATCATACATTTACTCTCACACTATCAATCAACTTTTCTTTCTTCGACTGTCCCTCTCAGAGCACTAGTCAGTGTTTGTCACTTCAACATTCCAGCAAGCAAATAAGAAGCTAATACGAGTTGTGAAATGAGAAGTCTGAGACGAAAGGATACGAAATCACTATAAAAACAAATGTATTCAAGTAATTCTGAATCCGGTCTCTTAAGTTCTTGTTATTTACTTAATAGTTTGAAGACAAAGAAAACCTTCTTCTGCCTCTTCTTCTTCTTTCTTCTCTTATTCTTTTTCACCTTCTTTCCCTTCTTCTTCCTCTTCTTCTTCTACCTTTTTCTTCTGACCGAATTTTTCGTTTTCCTTTTTTTCTTTTTTGTAATTACAGCATCTTAGAAGGGAGTGGCGTATGTGAAGAAACAGAACAAAAACGACAAGCAAAATTCTTGACAAGCGGGCTACCTCTGGGCTGTTCCACCGGTATACGGCAGGCTGGTGGCAATTTTCGCCGATGATACTCTTTAGATGATATTGTAAGCTTCAAACGGTCTGCCATTTTTTCTCTCACTTTTCAGTCGTTCACATCCAATTCATTTCGTTATCCTTTTTGCATTCTCATCTTTTCTTCAGAAGCATATCTTCCAATGCTTCATCTTGATTTTTGATAGCTGTTGTTGAACACTGCTGTTCCACACCAGGCTTATTTACGAGTAATTGAAAAAATAAAAAAGTCAGTAAAGGAAAATAAGGATTTGGCAATAACTGGACAATAGTATCAAACTTCCTTCCATGTAATGATTTCTTTCACTGTTGACTTTAAAGTTTAATTGCAGCTTTAAACTATTTTTTCCGGATTTGAAATAATTTTTAATCTAACTATTATCCACTTACTTCTTCTTTTCGTCAAGCCACTGATACCACTAAAAAAAGCTTTTTGCAGCTGATTTCTCTTTCACTGAATGCCTCTTCGGGTAGCATAAACTCTCAGTAATTTTTGTTAATCCACAGAGTCTAAAGCGTGGATAAAGAAGGAACGTGAATATTATGGTAAGCACCTTCAGCAGACTTTTCAAACAGTTTTTCTCTGTTGTGCTCAAAATTCTGCTAAATTTATGTATAATTTTTTAGATCGTAGATACCTTGTTAACATTTAATTTTTGCGCTTAGAACCGCTAAGTGAGAAAGAAGTTTAATTCTTTTGAGAGTCTTTTGAACACCGATTTTCTTCTGCGCTCGTTTTCTTCAACAACCTTAAACGTTCCTCACGCCAAAATTCTTGATAAAATTTTTTACGTTTCTGACCTCAGAATTGTTCTTTTTTGTCATTAGTCCACTTTGTAATTTCACACGCAGATATGGTAAGTATAGACAGCAGTCAGAAAAAAAGTCAGTGTTTGAAGAGTCAATAATGTATAGAAACAATAGCCCCTAACTGCATAAGTGTTTTCCGTGTTTCCTTAACCTTAAGTAGTCTAAAAATACTTATCAGCTGAGTATCTTTTATAGAATATCTTCTTTAATAGCGTTACGACGCTGCAAATAATTAGTTTTTTTTGTAGATCTGTAACAAAAAAAACTGTCACTTATATTTGCTTAGGTGCAGAGTGCAGGCGCACCGCAGAGTTAGCTGGGCCACTCTGAAATGCTTTAAAAATTAAGTTAACCCTTACTAATCTAATTTTCTATTTGAAACTCAGTGGTTTACTAAACTGAAACTTGATTGTTTTGTAAAAAAAGGACCAAGTGATTCTCCTGTGTTAAAAAAAAGTGTCTAAGTTTTAAAAAATAGAAACAGCTGACTGGGATGTTACTGCTTCCAACAGTTTTATGAAATATTTCTCACTTTAATTTTGTCAAACATGAAAGCTTTCAAAAACCTGCCATGAAATAATTTACTGGAGAATAATGAAATTAGATCATTCAGAACTGTAACAATTGAAAAGTTAGATAATCAGTCACTGCAGTACAAATCAAAACGATGTTTCACACAAAAATTTCTCTATTTCATTTCTTAAAAGCTTTCTTGAAGAATTTATTTTATTTTATTTGTTAGGCAGTAGGTAGTTTTTCTCAAACTGTAAAATCAAAAGAGCTTCTAAGGCTAAGGTTGCCTAAATTAACTTCAATTATAAACCAACTTTAGCAACTTCTTTCAAAGTTTAGACATTATGAGATTTTCATGGAACATACTGAAAGCAAATGAAAAAAAGGGGGCAGTTTAGTTATGCGTGTTGCTGCAGTTGCCGTACTTGTGCGGTCGCTATCAGTGGTCATCCTATTTGTCCTCAGGTTCTTTTGGTAATCATAATCCATATCAGATGGGCTTCAGGTTAGTCAATTAAGTTTTCCAGCTAGCAGAAAGTGTTAATATTTTTATAAAAACCTGTGGATCAAACAGCGAATGATTATTTTAACCGGGGAATTTTAAATAGTTAAATTGTCAATCTTTTTAATAACTGTTGGCTGTTGTAACAATCGTCTAGAAGTTGATTGTGTTCATCAAATACTTCGGTTTTTTGTTTAAAGTTACTAATACACCATTGCCCACCGTTTTAATTTTAAAAAAATTTAAAATTTTTATTTAAAAAACAAATCATTGTTAAATAGTGGAAGTCCACCTTTGGCAATGGACAGTGTACTTCATAGTAATCAGTTATGGCAAATCGATGCTGCCGAAAGACGGAACTGTAAGTTATAAAAACATTCATTTCTACTTGAACACCGGTGAGGAATTGTTATTTAAAACTTTTAGATTTATACATACTTATTTACCTACATATACACATCTATTTATATATTTATTTAAGCTTTATATATAATCTCGATAATTCTCATTAAATTGTGACCTCAATATCAGAAAAGTCGAAAATCAAATTCATTAAATTGCAGTTGTTCCCAACAATTATCTGTACGCCGCGAATGCTACAAAAAATATTAGTAATTATGTGGTAGGTTCAATTTCCATAGAAAAAAGGTTAAAATAAAGTTAGAAAATTGAACTCATCTTAGAAATATCAAGATACACTAAATATATTTTCTTTTTTATCCCAATATTAAATCTGTAGTAATTTCAGGTATTAATTTTTTCTTCAAGAATTATATCAATTATAAATTCCACCCTGCTTTAGCTAAACTTGTTTCTTTGTATTTCAAATCAGATATGAGATTTAATAAAAAGGTTTTTGATGGTACAATATATGTTAGTTTTCAATTTACATCTGCTAATGGTCAGATATTTCTCCATTTTTTTAGAAAGAAAGGTAATAGCATTCCACCAGAAGCTTTTATTGAGTTTTGGTAAAGCGCACAACAGTACTTTGACCGAAGGTTTGAAGGTAATTGGTAATGCAGCACCAAGCTTTAGACTTCCATAAAAAAAGGTCTAAATTACTTAAATCTCATTTCTATGGAACAGCAGCATCTGAAACTACACCACTTGAGCCGTTAAGAATGTCGATAGCGCAGTCCAATGAACCTCCAAATCTGGCGAAAATTGGTTCTTACTCGGTACATATAGGATATTCTTCCACCGTGTCTCAGCATGCGCAGGAAACTTAACCAATTACAGATTGCTCATCTACACGAGCGTATCCGTCTAAACTAGTTTCAACCATCTAAGCTCTATCTGCCCCTTTAAACAGTGCACTTTTTGTAGCCCCAATAGTTTCATTTTAGATTGGTCAATCGACTGCAACCAGTACACCAACACTGCCTACTGATAAAGCTGAATATACTGAAACCTTGGCTGCGATATCCGATGATTTGACTGCCACTACATCACTAACAGCTGAACCTGCTTTTATGACGACCGCTGCCTCTCTCTTTCCTTCCCAAGTTACTGCAGTTCCGTTACCAGCAGAAGGCAGTACGGTGGTTAATTACGGTTTCATACCGACACCAAATAGTAATGAACCGCCGTTAACCAATTTAACTAGTACAACTTCAATCTACACTGACCACGAGTCTCTACAGTTTGCCGAAGTGGCAAATGAATACTTAAGTGGAGTATCCATACCAAAGCATAATTATTCTGATAGTGTGCAAACTTTTACAACGGAGGAACAGACTACTCCTAGCTCAAACCTCAATAATTTTGCTTCGGTATATCAAGAAACTTCACTGCAGCCTCCTATAAATAACATTACAACCAACAGCTATTATGGATTTATTCCGCTTGACAACCGACAAACAGCGTATGAAACGGTATTCGAGGCTAATTATTCGACGATAATTCGAGGAGTAACTGAAGAACCACGAACTCTCATCATTACTACACCGTACGATTTTTCGTGGGTGCTTCAACAAGGAAGCTGGCAACGAGAAAGGGGGGATTCCTTGATTGCTCACGACTCAAGAATAATTCAAAAAACAACTGCACCACCAATGACAGCTGGTAATTCTTCAACTAACAATTTTTCGCTGATACTTCAGCCAAATGACCAGCAATCAAATGACAAAGGTGTTATAGGAAACAATAATTTAAGGATGTATCAAGATGTAACTAAACAGCCGATAACCATCAACAACACTGCCGCTACTCATGATTTTTCATGGGTTCTTCGACAAGAAGAACAAAAACCAAGAACTGGGAGTAATTTATTTGATACAAATAACTTTGGAGTAGTCCAGATAGTAACTCACCAGCTTGGAACGTCCAGTACTACAGTTTATGACTTTTCGCGAATTTTGCAGCAAGAAAATCAGCAGACAGCTAGCGGAAATAATACGAGTGTGAGTGAGCCGCAGATAATTCAAAGAATATTTGAACCATCGACAACAGCTAGCAGTACAACAAACTTCGACTTCTCATATCTACTTCAACAAGGGGAGAGACAGGAAATAGATGAAGATGGCTCAAGTAACTATCAAGAAATGAATAAAAAACCTAAAATTACCGATAATATTGATGTATACAATTTTTCTTCGGTTTTTCAACAGGAGCAAACACAACCGAAAAATGTAAGGCCATTGGAAACGACATCATTGGTTGACAAAGTTACCAGCGATAATTTGTCTTATATCACTCCACAGCGAACAACAATAATGGGTCGAACTCAAACAGATTTGCCAGTAGTTGACATATCGTGGCTGACAAACTCTTCTCAAGCACAGGTTCTGATAAATGCACATAAGACAACAAGTGCCCAAAGATCAGATCAAACTACAGCTCCTTCAATTTCTTATCACCCAAGTTTTGTTGATGTTGACTTAACGTGGTTACTCAATGGAACTCAGGAGTCTATGGTTCTTTCAACATACAGTGCAGCAGGTACCAGTCTTTTAACAGTTTTAAACTTATGCAGTTCTCGATAAGAATAGATTCCTGAGAACTTTTAAAATCTTTTGCCAAAATTTAGTTATTCTTTAAAAATGAGAAAAAAAAAAGACAAAAGCTTTATAATACAGCTTTAAAATATAACTCTAGCTTGTTCTTTCTACGCTGACAATCGGTAAAGGAAATTATACTTTAAAAGCTGAAACTTATGATGATTACTCAAGAGTAGTAGACAAACAGTAAGAGTGTAGGTTATAAACTGACTTTTATGACGGAACTGTATTTATGACTGAACTATCATTCTTTTAAATCTGAGCGAAGTTTGCTTGCCTAAAATATATTAAAATTGTATTGGAAACGTTCGTAGTAATCAAAATAACTCATTTTCTTTCGTACTAGTGTTGAGAAGACTTCAGATAAAGTTGCGATCTCAGAGTTATTGGTTCTCTCACTTGGCTTGTTGTTGTTCTTCGAGGAGTGGTAATTTGGGGGTCAAGAAATCTCTTCAGTTTGGAAGGACTTCAGTTCTAATCGTAGTGGACAGTTGGTTGTTCTTGTTTCTGTGTTGGTGTATATGTACAAATATTCGTTCTCAAGCATTATGCAACATTGTTTTGGAAAGGGTGCCTAAGCTAGAAGTAAGGGTATTAAAAAGAACTTTCCAATATAGCATTCTCCGTAAGAGAATTTCTATTATTTTTATTAACTGTGTAATAAACAATTATAAGTGTTGGTTGCAGTTACTAAATAATGAGTAGATAATTATTTATTTGGCTAGTACATCTTTTTTTCTTATTTGTTTTTCGTGTGGCGCTTTAGTTTTGTAACAAGCAATTATAGATGTAAATCAAAACTATGCTGTAGAAATAAAGCACCTTTTCTAGTTGCTCATTACACTTTTTAATAAGCTGTAAAAACAATCAGCTACAACAGTTTCGGCACTTATTAAACCTGGGTAAAAAGTCTGGTCAAAAGACATTGCATTAAGCAGTCAGGCATCTCAGAAAAAACTTGTTAAATTTATATATTTTATTCGCATTTTTTCTTCTTTAAATTACAACTACAAAATTAACTGAATGTAACTGTTGAATTTTTTTAGCAGCGCAGTAAAAATCAATAATAGTTCTTATAGTTACAAAGATCTAAGCAGTGTTTTTGGATAACTTAGCAGTAAGTTCTACTTAACAGTGACTAATAAAAGAAATTCAGATACCTAATAAATTTTTACAGTAGTTTAGCTTAATGAGCTCCTATCATCACTTTACCTGCTCCTTCTCTTCAACAGCACAGAACATCTTTTGCCATTTATTAACAGTAATATTTTGATCTCTTTAATTCATTAAATTAAATTTTATCTTTCTGAAGCTCTACTTTGCAAAAAATGATTTTCGCATAATTTAGCTTTTTCAACAAATATGTGAAATTATATAGTCATTCTGTTGCTATTATAAACTTTTCTTTAATTCTAAAACTTTTGTAAACTTTCACTCTTCATTTGTATTTAAAAGAACATTATTTTTTTTTTGTTTCTTCTTTTAAAAAAAGTTTTATTTTTTATGTGTCCTGTCAGACTCATTTTAAACCAATCTTTGCTAAAAGGATGTTATGAAATAATAAAGGTATCATTTATAAGGTGCACGAAAAAGTGTTGAAGAAAGCCTGTAAAAATTGGCTAACCTTGTAAACATCATCCATAGCAAAGTAATCTTTTGACATATTCCAAGTGGCTAATTCACACTTCTTAAGCATTAGCTGCAACAAGTAACTGTAGTTTTAAAGTATTTTGAAATCAAACTTGCAACTGTATGATATTATGCCTTAAGATGAACTGTATAGAGAAAACAAATTCTAAGAAGAAAAAAATTTTTTTCTTTTATTTATTTATTTTTTTATTAAAGTGTTAAATTTGCTAAAATACTATAATAAACCAATTGGTTTGGGAAATAGATCTAACTGAAAAGAAATTACTTCAAGTACTGGATATAAGCAGTGTTGCTTAATTGATGTGATATCTGCTTGCTGAGCAACAGCGATAGCTGCATTAGCTGCAGCTGTAGCTTCTTCGATGTCGGCACCAGTGCTTGGAACAGCACAATAAGCCTGGCTTGAACTAGGACCACTAGAATCATATAAGTTAAATTGTGCTTTTGATGACGAACAACATCTTTCAGCATCTTCATCTCCACTGCGCTTCGCATTCGTTGAGCACATACTTAGCTACAAAATAGCGTAATAAACAGTTTTAAGAAGAAAAGTGCAGAAATCGGTTTCAATGTATTTTGATTGAAGCAGCAAAATAAAAATTTTCAAATTTTTTCATGCACATAATAAAAATTAATTTATAAAAAGTTTACTCAGAATGCAAAAGATAAATCATCTTTGAATAAATCTAATCATCAATTGTTGAACAACAGATTTAGCATTCAATAGGCACTAGCAAAAATGCCAATCTTAAGTTTAGCAATTAAGAACCTTAACTTTATCAGCATCTATTAAACATTTTTATCAAACTAAATTTTGATGATGCGTTACAAAGAATTGCAAAAGTTGTTGAAATTTTTTGTTATTGTATTTTTCTATTGAACAATTATCACAGTTGTTATAACAAATTTTCATTGTTTTTCAATTTTTCCAAA